CCGAAAGAACAAATATACTTCTAAAAAAGTATCGAAAATATTCCATGTCATTAAGTGACTCTGTTAAAGGTAGGCTCTGGGGTGTGCATGTAGAGATAGGTATAAAGAGAAGTCTGATATCTGCATGCACTCTCCACACGGACATTCACACCTTCGTTCGCAATTTTTTTTTGTCGGCTAAATTAATATCATTCAAACCAAAAGAAAGTAAGAAGAAGAAACTTTTCTTATCAATACCCAAGAGTATTTGAGATGCAATTACAATTTACTCAACAAAATCTTAATATTTATGATTGAAACTTTTAGAATCTAAATAACACAACATGTAATGATGAAATAAATAGGAATTGAAATAACAATAGTGTGAAGAAGTTATTGATAAAATAAAATTTGTCAGTTTATTTTGTACAGAAGATTATATACTTCGTTTGACAATAAAAGACATGAGTTTATTTTAATATGAAAAAAAAAACCTAGTTCGTAGTTATTCGAAGAGTTGCAAATGATCATTGAGAAGAATAAGATTTTTAAAAAAAAGCATAATAAAAAGTGATGGTCGTGGAATGGCAACGGAGTGTTATGTATTTTTATAGGATGACCTGTAGATAAACCGATACCTTCGGACCACCATTTATGGATATCTAGGAAGTTACTATTATCTTGAAAATAGATCGATCTTGTGCAATTACATGGGATAACAGGAAGGAATACATATAGACAGGAAACATCAACTATAGATCGATCCTATCTTACAGACCAAAAAAGATGTCGTTTTTATATTCATATATACATGTAATATTTTATTTGTTTAATCATACAATTGTTTCAATTTTTATTATTCAATCATGTTCGCAATTTAATTACATATATATTGCAAATACAGTAAAATCTGTCATAGTGGACAGTAATCATGAATTCAAAGAGAATGTTGTGATGACTATCGTTAATCATTCAACATAGTGACTCTTCGTTATTGATTATGCGGTGGAATAACAAAAAACAAGATACATCTTAGTGGTAAAGAAAGAACACACCCTTTATGTTGATTAAGCAAGACGGGTAATTATATATACAATCGTATTGAAACGTGTGTGTCGTTCTACTACCATCAGTAATAGAAAAAGATCAATATGTCGAATCGACAAATGTTGACTCTTGAATAAAAGATTGCACTAATCAAAATGGTCATGGATTATCAACTTCATCTTTTTTGGCATCTACTCAACAGTCTCCATTACGTACTGTCATTTCTGATCTTAAATCATATTAACTGACATTTATCTAGATTCGAAAGTAGTAAAACAAAGTTCTATCAAAGATTATTTTTATAATTATTGATTTCTCTTTTTTTCAAAAAACAAAAGATAAGTAATAACGTGCTCTATCTGATTATCTTATTTACTAATATTCTAGATGTTTAGAAATGTGTCTATTTCTTCGAAAAACAGACATTATTTTTGGAACACACACACATACATACACACCTTTCTATAGTGAACACTCTTCAAAAGTGTTCACTATAGAGAGTTTTTGCTGTATGCACAAATCCAAACTTTTATTTTTCTGTCTTTCACCCGGTAGTGTATTGAAAAAAAAACATTAAAAGAATAGTATTTCACAATAGTAATTTGTTTTTGTGCAATGTATGTTCAATGACGTCATCTACTCTCTCATCATATCAGTCTGTTATCTTTTTTTCAACGTCGATAAACAAATATGAATTAGCACTGTCATACTTATCTATATAAGCAGAACTAAAACTGACCTAAACAATTCGTAATACTACAACAATGTCTGAAACTTATTTGCTTCACGATGAAATTCATCCAGCATCACCATTAGATCCAGATAATCGGGATCCAATGCGAATTAATAAACATCTTCAGGTACAAAAATAAAAACAAATTAACATTCTTTAAGATTGTTCGGTTTTTTTTCTTATATTAGCTTGATTTTTTTAATGTCATTGCTGAACCTGATACAAGTGCATATAATTTTGAAGTATTACATAAACTTTTACATCAAGTTTATCATTATACTAAAATTTTTATTTATCGTTTTTTAACTATTCTTGTTGGCTTACCATTAATGTTATGTTGGGGTCTTATATTTGGTATATATACATTTATAATGATATGGCTTGTTGTACCTATACGTCGATTAAGTCAATCATTCATTGCTGAATGTGGTTTTTATGTTCAAACACTAAGCGATGCTGTTATTGCACCAATACATCGTTCAATGGGACAGATGTTTTCTGGTATTCGTATGTCTCTTTCTAAAGTTGATGATCATTCAACAAAACAAATTCAAGTGTAAATAAATAAACAATTGCATTAAACAATGAATATTTGCCTTGAAAAAAATATTCTTTTATATAATCTGTGACTGAATATAAAAAAGATTGTCATTGTAATTAATAAACTTTTCTTCAATTTGTGATCTTTACTTAAGAAATAAAAACACATTTTATAATACTTATGGCATATGAAAAATAATGACAGAAATATTTTAATTCTTTATAAAAAAAAAAAAAACTTAAAGAAACTTTTTCTCTTGCGGTCTGATAGTAAAAACAATGCTCTGTATGTTGCTGATATTTGATCAATTTTCAACTAATATAATTATAATAATAAGATTCCGATAAGAGCTGTTTGTTAGGATATGTGACAAAAGATTAGATTACATTTTGTCTTCGATGTGTATTCTCTTCTTTATGTTTTCTTTGTCAAATCGTCTATATATATATCAGAGTATAGAAAAAATGGTCGTGAGAGAATAAAAACAAGTTCATTAAGTTTTTATTTCATTAAATATTCGAAAATAATCTTTCTGATTATTCATACTCAATTGCATTCATTTATCTACCGTTTTTTTATATTCGTCTTTTTTCAAAGTATTCATGACCTTGCTTTCGTACGAAAAGACCCTGGTTGAAAATCATGGATTTTTTCTCGATCTGGAAATAGTATAAAATGAAAAGCACCTTAATAGTATACAACTGCTGTGATGCCCGTTTCTTCAGATCTAATCCCTTTTATTAACAAAAAATTTTGAAATATCAGAATTCCCCGTGCTCATTCGCTTTTGAGTCAAAACTTTGCATATCTTGTACATCTTCGTGAATTACGTCTACTATGAAAAAATTTTGTGTTCCTAGCTAGTTTCTGAGGAGATCGAATGTTTCCAGTATTACAGTCATAAGAGACATCCTATCAGAAAAAAATCATTATCGTGACCAATATAAATTGAAACGAGCTGAGATTTTTCTTATGTATAATGATACTTATGTGGTAGATCATGAGAAAGTTTGAGCCGAAATAACCTTGTAGAAGACGAGTTGTCTCAAATATTAATATAATTTTTAATACCATTAATTATATGCACTACTTCAGTTCATTTCTTTTCATTGATCATGTTTTATGACCTGTACACGAAAGAAGTCTCCGTATATGTGGCTTACAATATAAGTATCGCTACAAACGTCTAGATAGACAAAAACCTAAATAAATTATGGTAACAAGCTACAATTACCAAGTATCTGAAATAGTATTACGACATTGATGCTTACTATTCAAATAGATTTTAATTCTATGTCTTTTAATTTTGAGAAGTAATGTAATTAATTGCGTTAAAAATTATAATAATATTTGAGATGACTCGTCTTCTACAAGGTTATTTCGGCTCAAACTTTCTCATGATCTACCACATGAGTATCATTATACATAAGAAAAATCTCAGCTCGTTTCAATTTATATTGGTCCCGATAATGATTTTTTTCTGATAAGATGTCTCTTATAACTGTAATAGTGGAGACATTCGATCTCTTCAGAAACAAGCTAGGAACACAATTTTTTTTTTATAGTAGACATAATTCATCAAGATCTACAAGATGTACAAAGTCTCGACTCAAAAGCGAACGCGCACCTGGAAATTATCTCCTGTTAGTTGTCTAATTTTTTTTCCAAGAGAGCATAGGGAATTCTGATATTTCGAAATTTTTTGTCCATAAAAGGGATCAGATCCGAAGAAACTAACATTACAGCAGTTGTATACTATTAAGGTACTTTCATTTTATACTGTTTCCAGATCGAGAAAAAAACCATGATTTTCGACCAGATCCTTTCTAGGAAATTAGAACTTGTCACCATATGATCAGACATAATTGTGTCAGAAACAAGTCACGTAAATTATCAAAAATAGACAACACCAATTTCAGGATTTGCTCGCACATGTCAAAGAAATTTCGGGCGTGGGTATGAGTGAAACTAAGACTGACAGCTACAGCCATACTTCCAACCCACATCCTATTTTTCAAATAATTTTTTCGAACAGTCGTTCGCGAAGGCGGGTAGATTTTGCATCTTTGACTCATACACACCTCACAGACCCACATCCACCTCTAAAGCAAGAAAATTTTATTCAAAAGTTGATTTTTGTTTATGTAAGCCAAAAAAAATCCTGTCCGTACAATCTAGAAGTCGACATAAGGAACTTTTCGTATTTAAATGTTCATTGTTCTTTCTTTTATAGCATAGTTAGCCATTGTAGGATGGTTTTGCCGGAAATTGACAACCAAGTTGTTGCAGATTTTCATAGGCACAATATAAGCCAGCATTAGCACATTGATCTATGTTCTTGCCCAAAGCCAGATAGGCAAGAAATCCTGATATAATTCATATTTTGTAGAATAGACTCAAAAAGAAAAGAATTAGGAATTTCTCATACCTCCGGCTAATGCATCACCACAACCATGTGTATCGATAATTTTTGAAGGTTTTTTCCATTTATATTCTTTAATACCATCAACTTGAAAGGTATTAAATCTATGTAGATCTTCCAATAAAGAGACATAAAAATTTCCTTACCTGTTGCAACTGTTGTCCGCTCAGGAATTTTTGTCACAACAACGACCCGTGGTCGATCTCGATTCCATTTCGGAGTATCACGAATGGCTTCAAGAACGGCATGCAAACTTGTGGACTATATAAAATTCAAAATTTCGTTGAAAACTTTATTAATTCATATTACTTGTACCTGAACGCGAAGCTGAGTTTTGGCAAGAACTCTTGCTTCCTTTAAAATAGAATTAATATTTTTCTATTACCTTCATATACACTAACTTACGTCTTCATATCCAAAAACCACATCGGCATATGGTAATGCACTCAATAAACGAACACCAATTGGATCATCGCAGATATATTTTGCTGATAAAGTCATGCTAAAAATCTTGCCCATTTTGAATGCATGTTCACATACACGCATAAATGCTTCACGACATGATACCAAAAAGAAACCCTGA